AGGGTTAAAACCCTCCTACTGGTGTTTGTGTTTGAGGGGCGGCGGCTTCAGCGGCACCTTTGTCTTTATCTTTGTCTTTGTCTTTGTTTCTTTCTTGTCTTTGTCTTTGTCTTTGTCTTTGTCTTTGTCTTTGTCTTTGTTTCTTCCTCGTCTCTGTCTTTTTTTTGTCTTTGTCTTTGTCTTTTTCTTTGTCTTTGTCTTTTTCTTTGTCTGTGTTTCTTCCTTGTCTCTGTCTTTGCTTTTTTTTTGTGTTTGCAGTTGCCTCTATCTTTCTCTTTTCTCTGTTTGTTGTCGTTTGTTGTTCTCAATTGTTGCTGCTGCTGCTGCAGCTACAGCTGCTGCTATTGCTGCAGTTGCTGGTGTTGCTGCTGCTCCTGCTTCAACTCACCCTTCCCCTATTCTTTTATTTTTTTTTTATTTTTTTTTCTCTGCAGCCGCCGCATGCTAGCCCTGAGACGCGCAGCAGCAGCGGGGGCAGTCGAGGCCACTCGTCTCCGCCCCCCCCCATCAGCCCCCAGGGAGAGCAAACAGGGGGGAAACACACCAAGCAGAGGGGCCCCCCGGGGGCCCCCCCGCCGCCGGGGCCCCCCGGGGCCCCCCAGTGAGAACCGCCATTGGATCCTCCCTTGGGCCCCCCCTGGGGGCCCCCCTGGGGCCCCCCTTTGGGCCCCCCCGGGTGCTTTCCCTGGGTCTTTCCCGGGGGCTACACACAAAGTAGACCCGTACCCAAGGAGAACAGCATCTGGGGGCCCCCCTGGGGGCCCCCCTTGGGGGCCCCCTGACGATGCAGAGATGGAGGAGTGCAGCAGAGAACAGGGTATGGGGGGGGCCCCTGGTGTTGTGGTTCCGCCTGGTTGTGATTTAATAACTTATATACAAGTCGTAAAGAACGGCATGCAGAAGAAACACAACGCGCTGCACTGTCGAGACACCGGAGCATTCAAGCGGGGGCCCCTCACCTTCAAGGATCCTTTTAGTTTTATTCGTTGGGCGGAGGGTACACAGGAGGGGGGGGGCCCCCGTGAACCCATTTCTATTGAAACGCTCTTGGCTACCACCATGGTGACCCCACAAACCAGTACCGCAACAGAAACAGAAACAAAAGCAGAAACAGCAACGGAAACTGCAGCAACAGCAGCAACACCAGCAACAGCAGCAACAGCAGCAGCAACAGCACCAACAGCACCAACAGCAGCAACAGCACCAACAGCACCAACAGCAACACCAGCAACACCAGCAGCAGCAGCAGCAGGAGCAGCACAGAGAGAAGGCTCATCGGTTGATATGTATACAGTAGACAGCTCCTTTGACCCCAACGACCCCGCCCCTGAAGATATCCCTAAGAGCATAAAATTTAAAGAAAGAACAGAAAACCCATGGCGAGAAGACAGTGCAGAGGATGCAGAAGGAGGACAGAGTGTAACGCCTGCTGCTGCTGCTGCTGCTGCTGCTGCTGCTGCAGCAGCAAGTGCAGAAGCTGAGACTGGGGGGCAATCGGGAGGGGAAGAGAAAGAGAAAGGCTCTACTGCTGTGGAGGAGGAGACAAAGAAACAGTAAACACGGATTGAGGTGTACATACACCTGAACATATCGTTGTATGCTGACCCCAGCCACACTTGTGCTTATCCTGCTGCTGCAGCAGCAGCAAGAAGACGAAACGTATTCTATCGAGTGTTTGTTAGAAAGCAGCAATATATGCATGCAGGAGAAGAGGAGAGGTGAACAGGAGAAACAACGAGGTTTCTCTTTCTGTATTTGTGTGTTGAAATAGACAAATATAAACATGTATGCAGCAGGCAGGGGGAGGCCAGGGGTATACGTGTTCCTTTATTCACGTTGGTTTCTCTCTGTACACCTGAAAGTTTTGGTGTTTCTACAGTATTTAAGTTTATCTATGCATGCTCACGTTTATATATAGACGTATACACGCATGATGCTTCATATAATGTATACACTTATACACAACGAAAGCCGCTCGCTTTGGGGGCAGAGAAAGCAGATAGAATATATATATATATATATATATATATATATATATATA